TGTGTGTGTGTGTCTGTGTGTCTTCCTGTCTGACTTTGCAGCTTGAGTTACTTAAAATTATGAAAAATAAAAATTGTTTTGAAGTTCTAGTAAATGTTATATAGTAGTAATAAAGAATATCTAACAGATATTCTTCAAGTAGAAATGTTTTAATCATGTATAAAATGATGAATTAAAGTACTTTTCACTAATTTACCTTAGAAGTCTGTTAAGCCTAATACAAATTATTTGCACAACTGTGGTATGCCATTTATAAAATAACTTAACAAAAGTAATATGCAGTTCTCTTAAAAATTTAGAATATGGAGATAATAAAATTGCATATGATCACCATTTGATGAGATCATTGTTTTAGACAACATATTGCATGTATATTTCATATATCATTTGTTTAAAAGATGAATACTAATTTTTGAAATGAGTATGAGAATTAATATTGAAATAACATTTAAGTACTATACATAAGCAGAAAAGCTGGCTACTTTGTATTATATTTAATGCTAATTCCCTAAAAGAGTTGTTTGTCCTCTGAAGGTGCTTTTTCCCTTAAATACTCGAATTTATTTTAGCAGATTAAGTATGGTTTTCTCATAAGGTTATAAAAGTAATATCTCCATCATAGATTTCATATAAATAATCAATTTTTCAAACTTATCACATGAAAGAAAGTACTTTTTCACTATATTTATCGTAGATTCATTTTGCTTTTTGAGTTATTATATTCCTACACTTTCTAATACATTCTTTGCTGAAGGGAGTTAACATATCTGTGGTTAAAGAATATCTGTTTACCACATGAGTGACAGATAGTTAGTTGCACTTTGCTGTCAGATTTAAGATTGTATTTTAATTCTGCCATTTGCTAGTTGTACGTTCTTAGGCTATAGTTTATAATATTTTGTTCCTAGTATACAAAAKGTGAATAATAATAATACTTGCATGGTTAGGATATGGGGAAATTATTTGTTGGTGTACATAAAGAATTTAACATAGTTCCTAAGAAACACTCCAGCACCACCACCATCAACCACCATCATTTTTGTGTGTGTAAAATATTATTTAGCATATAAGGAGTCAGTAGCTGATATTTTGCTTTAATTAATTAAAAATTTTTAAGATGAAGAGATTCCTTCATCTTATGTTATGAACAATATTAATTTTAAGAAGGAACCAGGATAGAAATATTGAGAATATTGGTAAGATACRTAGATGCACTGTTTACATTTACATTCTTATAGAATTTTTGATTTGATGCTCTTGGAATCATATTCTGTCTGCCAGTTTCCAAAGGATGTGATTGATTTTTTTAAAGACAATTTATATAAGTATGGGAAAAGGGAATAGAAGAGGAAAGTATGGTTAGGAGACTCAAACTTAGACATCATAGAGATAGGAATTCAGGTAATGGAAGCATGGTTGGAGAGCAATGAACAGTTTTGAGGGATACATAAGATGTAATATAGTTGTTGGATATGTGTGAATGGATTGGTAAAAATCAAGATTGGAACCTGGTACTGTGGCACAAGCCTAAATCCCAGCTACATGCGAAGCTGAGGCAAGAAGAGTATAAGTTCAAGGSTAGCCTGGGCAATTTAAGGAGACCCTGTCTCAGTTTTTTAAAAAATTAAAAATGCTAGGTCATAGAGCACCCCTGGGTTCACTCCCCACAGCTGTCAGAACAACAACAACACATCAGAAATGGAAGGCAGTAAAGATTATTATTTTGGATTAGCATTAGCTTTTTATGTTTTTCCTTAATTTGTAGTTTTCAAACTGTAATCACTTGTAGATGTTTTTGTTTTACTAATTATATTTATAATGTTTTACATATAATTTCCATTGAAGTTTCCTACTGCTTATTCTTCACAAGAGTCTTTGAAGTAGTTTTTAGACCATTTTACAAATCAATTACTCAAGTCTAGATTGCATATTTTACAGAGGTTTTCATCATTGGCAAAGTTAGAGCTTCAATGTAGGTCTTCTAACTGATTCTGATTGTTATTTCAAGAGTTTTTTGTATAGCATTAGAATAATAAAATAGAACTTTTCAATGATTATTCAGACATTTCAAAATTTATTGTATTTTTTCATTACAGGGGATTGAAAATACAGTTTTTACTCTCAATGAAGGATATTCAGCCCAGGTTTATACTGAGCAAGTGGATAAAACCAAACTACATTTAAAATTGCTTGATTATCTTAATCATGATTGGAAAAGTGAATTTTATATAAAATCTAATCAACAAGACATTAGTTTCATCAGTTTTACCTGTGTTACAGAAATGGAAAAGACTGATTTAGATATTGCTATCCACATGACTTACAACACTGGTCAGGCAATCGTGGCATTTCATAGTCCATACTGGATGGTCAATAAAACTGGCCGAATGTTACAATACAAAGCAGATGGAATTCATCGAAAGCATCCACCTAATTACAAAAAGCCAGTTCTCTTTTCTTTTCAGCCAAATCACTTTTTTTATACCAATAAGGTATGTAACTTTTTTCTTACTCTTGCTCTTCTCTCTTTATGATTCCTATTTGGAGCACTAAAGTACTTTGAAACTTAGGTAGAAATAACATTTGTACATGAGGTTAAATAGACTTAACATTTAATGTTGAGAAAGGTTTTGTGTATTAATGTAATATTTAGTTTATGCAAAAAATGTTTTAAATTKTCAATTTAAGTAAAAATTTTTAAAGGTACTTGTAATATCTTTAAAATATTTTTTCCTAGGTTCAGCTTATGGTAACTGATAGTGGGTTGTCAGATCAGTTTTCAATTGATACTGTTGGTAGTCATGGAGCTGTTAAATGCAAAGGCCCAAAAATGGAATATCAAGTAAGTTCATTCTGTGTTCAAGCAACTTTTATTTAAAATATCTGTTGGTTACTTAAGAAAATTTTATAAGGATGTTATAATAATATAACAGTCTTTGAACTGTTAATTTTTTTTCCTTAGGTTGGTGTCACTATAAACCTTAGCAGTTTTAACATTACCAGAATTGTGACATTTACTCCTTTTTATATGATTAAAAACAAGAGCAAATATCATATATCAGTKGCTGAAGAGGGAAGTGATAAATGGCTTTCTCTTCAATTGGAGCAGGTGGGTAGATGAATTTCAAAAATGTACCTCTTTGAATTCTCTTTTTTTGAAGTTAAATGCCTGAAATTTTAACCCTCCCCCACCCCAATTTTGAATCAGTTCCATGAACTTTTATTGAGTATTTGTACTAGGCTTTCAATATTTAATTATCAAAAACTAGACCTTTCTCTATAGGAATGCATAGCTTGTTCAGGAAGGTAGACACCAAATTAGTTAAATATACTAATGGAATTAGTTAAGGTATRGAGGCATCAAAGAGGAGGAAATGATTTATTTTCTCTTTTAGAAATGCCTTCATACAGAGTAGATTAAGCCAAACTTTCCTTCAAATTATTTGAAGTAATTTATGAAATTTTGATTGTGTACCATCATTTGCTGTCAGATCTACATAAAAGTTTCTAAACAATGGACTTAGGTTGATAGAATATTTACTTTCTATAAAACTTGAAACGTATGTGTCTTTTAATATTGCTTTTCCTTTAGTCTGTTTTTATTTTCCTACTGCATCTTTATTCAAACATTTTAGATGTTCAGATTCTCCTTCATGTATCTTATATATCTTAATATTCCTTTTGTCTTTTCCATGTCTTTAACTCTTTGCTACATTCTGGATGAGTTCTACTTTGTATATCTCTTTCTTGTTTTTTTTTTTTTTTAATTTACTGTGTCTAAACTGCTATTTATGACTTAAACTACTGATTTTTTATTTAAATATATTTCTCATTTCCAGAAGTTCCACCTTTTTCAATTCTGTTCATTCTTTCAGTGAATACTTACCATGGACTTTTTGTTTGTTTTTGTTTTTTTGTTGTTGTTAAATACTTAGTTGTAGGTAGACACAATACCTTTATTTTATTTTTATGTGGTGCTGAGGATCAAACCCAGTTCMTCACATGTGCCAGACAAGTGTTCTACCACTGAGCTACAGCCCCAGCTCCTTACCATGTACTTTTTATGTGACTTGCATTACATCTGTTAACAAAATCTCAAGWTTCTGTCTTTGGTAGTTTACAATTCAGTGAGTGCAAAGAAAAACAATAAATCAATAATAACCTAATCAGTTAATAAAATGTATAAGAAAGTTAAAAGTCTAATGAGAGAAATAGAAATCAAGTAATATAAGGAATATCAAACATTCTGAAGAGCAAGGAGTGACCTTTAGTTTTAGTAAAGTGATCAGAACTCACTGAAGTCACCTTTGAACAAAAGCTTGCAGGAAATGAGAGAGTAGCTGTCAAGAGCTCAGCTGWGCTGACAGATACAGGAGTAATTGATTAAGACAACAAGCCAGAATGAAAGTAACACAATCAAACTTTTAATCATTTACTTTGAATAGTCCAAGCAAGAGGCTAAATAAACCAGATAGGGCACTTACATCCCCTTGTTCCATTTTCCCTTCTAGGAACATTCCCCTTCTAGGATGAAGTGGATCAGCCCAGACATTGGGGTTGTCTCCCTGTTGAAGGACTCCTTAACAAAAGGCTCTGGCAGTTTTATGAACCTGAGGGATGAAAGAGGGCAGAGTAGAAAAATACTGAGCACTGAGAAAGAGTTTTCAGGGCTTCTCCTCTTCTCAAATAAACCTCTGGCAGAGGCTTCTGAGGAGCTCCTCTGCTCATGGGCCCAGATAGAGAGACCTCCAAATGAAAGTGCCTGGGCTAGAAATGCAGGTATATCTAAAAGTATTGGGTGAGGGAGAAATGAGGGGGATTGTCTTTGAAACCACAGTGTTCTGGCTATGTACCAACTCTGGAATGGGGAGGGTACTTAGTTAGCCTTGTGAGGCCTGATGGAATATTTGAGGAGAAAGCATTAGACACAGAAGGATAAACCAGAATAGGGATTCTAAAGAGGGAAAGTATTTGACAGGTTTGAGGGATATCAAAAGAGGCCAGTGATACTGGAGAAAGAAAAATAGTAGAGGAAAAGCATAGTGGTAATGAAGGATAACTATACAGAACTTTGTAAGCCTTTACAAGGACTTTACCTTAACCGAGTGAAATGGGGAGCTTTAGGAGGGTTTTGGTCAAAGATTAAACATAGCATGTTTTCAAAACATACTTACTGAATTAATATATGATTTATTTTTGTGAGTGTTCCACATAATCTCATTAGCTTTATGTTTTTCTTAGACATATTTTTTCCGTGATTTTGTGATAACATTTTTGTCTTGATGTATCTGTGTCTCTCAGATATTGTCAGGTCTTGATTATCCTATGAAAACCTTATCTGTAGAATGTCTTTCAATAGTTAGTTCATATTTACATTAATTTCAATCACAAATGCATAATGACTCTTTAAAATTTGCTTTGTTTTTTTTCTGTTGTTGTTTATCATTTCAGCCTAAGGTAAATTTTCTTTCATGTGTTGAATTTTTTTAATTCTAATTTTGTTATTTGGCTTTTTGTTCTTGATAGGGGAATGGGGTCTCACTTTGTTGCTCAGGCTGACTTTATTTTATTTTATTTTATTTTTTGTACTGGAGATTGAAACCAGTACTTTACCACTGCACTACATCCTCAGTCCTTTTATATTTATTTTTATTTTGAGGCAGGGTTTCTCTGAGTTGCTGAGGATTTTGCCAAGGCTGACCTCAAACTTGTGAACTTCCTGTCTCAGGCTCTCAGATAACTGGTATTGCAGGTGTGCAGCTTGTTTCAAACTAATGGGCTCAAGCAATCCTGCTTCAGCTTCCCAAGTAGCTGGGACTGTAAGCATGTTTCTAATTTGACTCATACTGATCAACCTTATCATATTAAGATGCATACTCACCAGGCATGTTGGCGCACACCTATAATCCCAGTGGCTCAGGAGGCAGAGGCAGGAGAATTGCAGGTTCAAAGCCAGCTCAGCAAGGCCCAAGCAACTTGGTGAGACCCTGTCTCAAAAAATAAAAAAGACTAGGAATGTGGCTCAGTAGTGAAATGCCCCTAGGTTCAATCCCCAGCACGAAAAGAAAGAAAAATACTCATGATTATTACTGTTTCTGATTTTTAATCTTATCTATATTTCTCTGTTTCCCTTCTACAAAAGACAAAAACGTTAGCACTTTCTTGAGCCTCAAGAGGCCTCACAGTTTTAAAATACATTGTACATTATTAAGCTCAATACATTGTACATTATTAAACTCAAGTATTAAGCCAAGGCTGTCAAGGAATCGTAGCCGTGGGGATGTCTAAAATATACAACATTTTTAGTCTTTTCAGTTCTTCACAAGAAATATGCTTGGATTAGTTGTATTGTTTCTATTTTGACTCTCCCTGGTAAGTACCTGCTAGGATACAGGAAGTCTTGACAGGGTGGGGGGGGGATCATAGTAAACCTCTTACATCCTTAACCTTGTTCAGTAACTAATTCTATCTTTCATGGTTGAATAAAACCAACTTTAACAAGCTAAGACATTTAGCTCAGTTTTGCTACAGAGTTGTCCCCAGGTAAAAACTAATTATCAACGTGTAGAAGAATGAGACTATTTCCTTATTTCTCACTCTGCACAAAAATCAACTCAAAAATGTATCAAAGACATAGGAAATAGACCAGAAACTTTGCAATTCCTGGAAGAAAATGTGGGGTCAACTCTTTAACATATAGGTACAGGCAGCGATTTTCTTAGTACAATCCCTAAAACTCAGGAAATAATGCCAAGAGTTAATAAATGGATTGACATCAAAGTAGAAAGCTTTTGCACAGCAAAGGAAATGATTTAAAACTGTGAAGAGATAGCTTATGGAATTGGGAAAAATCTTTGCTCTCTGTTCTTCTGACTAGGGATTAATATCTAGAATGTATAAAGATCTCAAAAACCTTAATACCAAAACCCAAATAACCCAGTTAATAAATGGGCAAAAGAACTAAACAAATACTTCTCAAAAGAAAAAATACAAATACCCAACAAATCCATGAAAAAATGTTCCAGATCATTAGCAGTTAGGAAAATGAAATCAGCCTAGTTGTATGTCACTAGATGAATTAATAAAGAAAATGTGGTATATGTACACAGTAGAATTTTATTTAGTCATAAAGAAGAATGAAATCATGTCATTTGCAGAAAAATAGATGGAACTTGAGAACATTATTTTAAGTGAAATAAGCCATACTCAGAAAGTTTTCTGTCATTATGGAAACTAGAGAGGAAAGAGAAAAAAAAAAAGATGTTTGTGTGGGGGAGAGTATCTTATAAAAATCAAAGGGAAGTTAAGGGAAGGGAAGAGGAGATGAAAAGGAAGTACTGGGGCATGATAMTGGTCAARTTATATTGTTACATTGTGTGCATGTACAAATATGTAGCAACAAATCCCACCATTATGTACAACTAAAAAGGGGAAAAAAGAATTGTCCCCAGGTCATATATGATAAAGTTCAGGTATCATACATGAAAAGGCTCTTTGAAARCACTGCATGACCAATCAAGTGACCAATCTGGTCTGTACCTAAAATGGAGTTGACTATAGTTTATAGAGAAGGCTAGTTCTCCATCTTGTTTTTTTAATTCTTGTCTTTGTTTCCAGTTTCTGTCGTCCAGTCTTTTTTCTGGTACCTTCACTGTCTCCTCTGTCTTTAGCTTGATTTCCAAATCACAGATGTCCAATTGTTTTAAGATTCCAAGCTTCTTTCCTTCTATGAATTTTAGATTACTTTTTTACTCTTAATAATATTAACAGCTAAATTACATTTTCTGACTCATCCATAGTGTGTACTTATACTTAATTAACAAATAATATCCAAACATGATTTATATTTTTAGTAATTAAATGAACCTTTGTTTTAAACTCAACATCTGCTTCCTAGTTTCTGACTCAGCTTAGTTGCTGATTTTTCAACACTTCTCTGAAAGAAGTCTGTTTTCTCCCAAGCACCCTACTTATCTTTGCTCTTCAACTTAATTACTCATTGCTGCTTGTATTTTTAGTACTTGAAAGTRATAACCCATTTCTAAATTGACAGTTTATAGCTGTTCAGCTAAGCAACCTAATAACAATGTTGAAAGAGTTTGGTGGTTTTGTTGTTGTTTGTTTKGGGTACTCAGGATTGAACCCAGGGGGCTTTACTGCTGAGCTACATTGCCAGCTCTTAGTTATTTTGCTTTTTTAAATTTTGAGACAGTGTCTCACTCAGTTGCTGAGGCTGACCTTGAATTTGAGAACCTCCTATTTCAGCCTGCTGTGTCCCAGGGATTATAGGCATTCACAACCATGCCCAGCTGACAGAGATTTTTTGAAGTTTATTTTACTACTATGATGAGTTTATTACAACAATATAAGTATTTTTGATAAGATCTGTTTATTTTTATAAATATATGTAATATATGTTCTTAGTGTATCCCCTTTTGGCCTGAGGATGCTGGCAGTAAACTTCTTATTCAAGTTGAAAGGACTGAAGGTCCTCCAAAAAGGATATATTTTAACAAGCAAGAAAATTGTATTTTATTGCGTCTGAATAATGAGGTAAGTTATTTTTTCACAAGAATCTTTGAAAAAGCAACTATGTATTTACTAGTATTTTATTTTACTTTTTAAAACAATTATCTGTTTTTCCCCCTCACTAAAAATGAACCAACATTTCTTTTTAAAAGGGAAAAGGTACCAAAAAGAAAAAGAAATATTTAACAAAATTAAAAAATATATATTTTTTAGTTGCAAATGGACACAGTATCTTTATTTTATTTACTTATTTTTATGTGGTGCTAAGAATCAAACCCAGTGTCTCAAGCCTGMGAGGCAAGCGCTTTACCATTGAGCTACTACCCCAGTCTTAGAACAAATTTTTWAAAAATTAAAAATTTTAAAAWAGAGAAATATAAGATAAATTAATTATCACACAGAAAGTGAGTTGGAGTGCCTAAGATGCTAGATAGGAKAGCTAGAATTCCACAAATCTGCATACAAAAAGAATTCATTGTTTCCCAGAAATGCAATATAAAATGCTTATTTTCTAAATTGTCTTCCAAATTATCAAGTTATGAATAGTTTTAKTACTACATGTTATTAATAATAATCTTGGGGAAATTGTCACATTAAAGAATGTTTTCCTTTCTTTTAGCTTGGAGGTATCATAGCAGAAGTTAATTTGGCTGAGCATTCAACCATTATTACATTTTCAGATTACCATGATGGAGCAGCTACATTCCTGTTAATAAATCACACTAAGAATGATCTTGTTCAGTACCAACAAAGGTAAGAAGATTATCACAAATATGGTAACTCCTGATTTAGCCAAATCTAGGTAACGAGACATTTATAATGATTTCTCATGAATGTAAACATAGATAATGGTATTGTGGTTATAAGAAACAATGTCCTACTTTTAAAGAAAGGTATACTCACGTTTGTAGGGATCAAACCAACTTCATAATTTACTTTCAGATGCTTCAAAGAAAGAATCATGAAGAGTTAAACAAAGTATAGCCAAAGCTTGATCATTTTTTAGTCTGTTGAAAAATGTCAGGTTTGTTCAGAGTCTCAGAATTTGTTCTTTTTGAAATTTTCATATTTTAATAAGCATAATGTAATTATAAAATTTTAGATTTTTTTTCAGATATCCTCTTCTCGCTTCCTAAATACCAAAACTCTATGTTGATGGTATAGGACTAATCTTAAAATTGTTTATTTCAGTTTTGTGTGATATCATACCCTCTTGGTGCTACTGTAGTTTATGCAACTCTATGTTTCACTACTTAGTGGTTCCAGGTTATCCTGAATTTATTGTGTCTGAGTATTTTGTTTTCATCTCTTACTTTTTAATGGGCCCATATCTGTTAGTGTATTTATACTTTTCTTTTGCTTCCAAATGTAAAACTTATAATAATTGATTTAAATCAAACACGTATTGAATAGGGACCATAGAACTAGTCTAAGAAGTACCTAGAAGTCCTCCTTGTCTATCATTGTCTCATTTGTTTGAGATATTGAGAAAGGATACTTCCTGTCTTGTTTTGTTTTTTAATTATATTATAAAAAACATAAATTCTGTCTTAGTCTGTTTGGACTTTTTTATAAATAACAGAAATTTATTCCTCACACTTTAGAGGCTAGAAAGTCTAAGATCAAGTCACTGACAGATTGAGTATCTGGTGAAGGCTCACTTTCTATTTCATAGCGTTCTGTCTGTATATTTGAACTTTCTCACTAATTTATAGAATTTTTTTCTAAAAGCTCATTTTTATTCCTTTGCAAGTAACTGGCTTTTCTGAATGTTTACAAGGGTTTCTCTTCCCTTTGTTATTTTTTTAATTTAAATATTTYACTAAATAGGCATAGGATCATATTCTGTTTTCGTTGATATTATCTGATAGCCAGTGAAGTCTTTTAAWCTTCAGGGTAAATTTATTTGGCTCAGAAAAACTTTAATTTATTACTTCTTTGATTAAATAATTTCTGTTTTTCTTATTGAAATCTTTTTGTGAATGAGCTGAATTTCTTATATTGTGTCTCACATCTTATTATTTTAAAAATAACTAARCTACACCTGTTTTTGCCACAGTAACACTTAGGGAACAGTTGCCAGTTAAATTCTCTTAGATTTAGTATGAATCATATAAAATAGTTGAATTTTTTTCCATAATTTGAATTAAAACAAAAATTGACATTTCAAACTTGAAGATCTTTATTTCCTAAGTGAGATGCTTTCCTTAAAATATTTTCTTAGAGATTGCTTATGTCATTATATAAGGAAAATTTGTCTAATTCAGAATTTCTATAAATCTCAATGGGCTAAGAATTATATATTATCTTGTATTTTTGATATATTATCTGGTTGCATTTAACTTAATACCTATTTTTGCTACTTTTAACAGTTGTCTCAGTGATATTGAAGATTCCCTTCCTCCTGGAAAAGCAGTGTTTTATACCTGGGCTGATCCTGTGGGCTCTAGAAAATTAAAGTGGATTTGTGGAAAAAGCCATGGGGAAGTAACACAAAAGGATGTAAGTGTTAGTTTGATTATTACAGTGTTCTCAGAACTCTTTTTGGTTTTGTGGGTCTGTGTGTTTTTTAAAAGWTTATTTTCAGCCTTGAAGATTTTAAGAATTGTTCTATATTTGTAAAATAACTGCCAGTGATTTAAAATATAGTATTTAGGCTCTTTTTTATTTGTTTGTTTGTTTCTTTTACTATTTCTTTCTTTCTTTTTTTTTTTTTAATCTAACCAGAASCTAGATAAAGTTGGAAACCAGAAAGAACTAGTTTTATCCCAAAGAAGCAGGATCTTTCAGATTTACTCCAGTAAAACATGCAAACCACATGCAAAACTTTTCTTCCTTTAAAACAAAACTATATAGAAGTCCTTCCTTATGTTCATTGTAAAAAAARTGAGTTCTGTCCAGCTTTATCTTATCCAGAAATATTATAAACCAGAAGTAGTCTAATTTTGTCCACATCTCTATATGCTTCTACTAAGTTGTAAAAGATAAAGCTCTGCTTACAGAAGTGCTTTCAGCATTCACCTCATAAAGAGATAAATTATTGGCCCTGACAGTCATCTTAGATTTAACTGCTTATGTAGAAAACATTTAAGGGTCCATTAAGTATACTGTTAAAAATTTATTTCTTAGGGGCAAGTTCAGATAATAAGGTTGTATACAAACATTTTCTAATAACATAAATGACTTTCAGAAAATATTTTCTTAAAGTTATATTTGACCTTCAGAATTCATCTTAATTTGACCCTATTCTAATGTTTTTCTTCCTTTTATTATTATTTGTTCCTGACTATCAATAGGCCAGTGATTTCTCTCATTTCTCTTTTAGAAAAGAGACTGGACAGTTTTGTTATTAAGTGTGTTTTTTGTTCTAGGGTTTTGTTGTTGTTCTTGTTGTTACTATTATTTTTAATTAACAGCCMTGTATCAAATTAAGGTAATTGCTTTCTACTCCTAGTAGTTTGCTGATTTTTTTTAAAATTAAATACTTTCAATTTTTATCTRTTGAAAATGATTATGTGCCTGTGGGACTTTATCTTATTTTGTAGATGGATTTTATGATTTAAYTTTTTTAATATTAGGCCACTTTCACATTTTGGGAATTGACTTGCTAATGGCTTAAAACTTTTTGTTTGAATATTCATGAAGGAGATTGGCCTGTAACTTTCCTATCTTATAATTTCCTCTTCATAATTTGATATCAAGGCATTCTTGGCTCACTAAAAATCTTAAGAAATATTTAATCGCATTTTCTAGAAGATTGATGTGAATCAATATGATGTCCTCTTTGGATGTTTGATAAAGTTTACTAATGAAGTCAAGCAGTCCTTGCCTGCAGTTGGAAGGTTTTGAATTATGAACTCTATTTTATTTTTACATATAGGACAATCCACTTTTCTGTTTATCTTTATTTTGATGTTTTTCTAAGAATGTGATCTTTTCACTGGAAATTTCTAATATGTTGACATAAATATATTCATAATACCCTTTTTAAAATTTTGAATATATTTATGGTGATGCCCTTTTTCATTCTTGGGATTGTTTATTTGTGCCTTCTCTTTTTCTTGATTAATTTTGCTAAGGGTTTATCAATTTTATAAGTTGCTTTTTTACACAAGAAAATCATGGTCTCTTTAATGATATCTTTTATACATGTATTTTCAGTTTCACCAGTTTTACTCTATTTTATTTTATATTATGACATCTTTCTTTAGATTTACTTTGATTATTTTTTTAACATCTTAAGATCAATACTGTATTAGTCTGTTCAGGCTGCCAAAACAAAGTACCACTGACTAGATGGTTTAGACAAAAGAAATTTATTATCTCCATAAATGTTCCTTCTCCAGATACAGTCACATTGAGTACTAGGGCTTCTACATAAGTCTTAGGGGAAAACAACTTAGTTCATATCTAAATCACTATTTTTTAGATATTTTTGCTTCATATTTGAAGTCATTTAAAGTCACTAATTTTCCTCACAAAATAACATTAACTTTATCTCACAAATGTTAATTTTGCATGTTTATTATCATTTAGTTCAAAATAATTTTCTATTTTTTTATTGGTTGTTCAAAACATTACAAAGCTCTTGACATATCATATTTCATACATTAGATTCAAGTGGGTTATTAACTCCCATTTTTATTGTTACTTATTTTTTATATTTTAGTTTACTGGTTATCATATACTATTTTTTTTGTACTGGGAATTGAACTCAGGGGCACTTGAATACCGAGTCACATCCCAAGCCCATTTTTGTATTTTATTTAAATAGAGATAAGGTCTCACTGAATTGCTTAGCACCTCGCCATTGCTAAGACTGGCTTTGAACTCGAAATTCTCTAGACTCAGCCTCCCAAACTGCTAGGATTACAGGCATACGCCACCGCGCCCAGCCTTACATTTTAATAGTATGGGAACTTTCTCATTTTCATTGATTTCTGATTTAATTCTTCTGTAATTTGGGAAAATATTTTGATTCACTATTTTGAAATTTTTAGATTAGCTATGTGGGCCAGTCTATGGTCAGTAACTAATTCATATGTATTTGAGAAAAAGAAAATGTTCTGTAGCTTTTTAAAGAATGTTATATGTTTTTTGTTAATTTGTTCAGATTTGTTAATTGTGTTATATAAATCTTCTGTATCATTTATTTGCTTGTTATATTTGAGAAATATGTTAAAACAGTATAATCATAAATTTATACATTTCTCCTTTTTGATTCATTTATTTTAGCTTTTCTATTTTGAAGCTATGTGATTAGGTAATTACAAATTTTGAATTGTTATATCTTCCTGGTCATTTCATGAGGATATAATGTTGCAGTGCCTGACATAGTAACTTCTTAGGCCCAAACATCTAGACTCACAAAATGCTTATAGGCAATTTGCACCTGCTTATTTCTTTTTTTTTTTTTTAGTTGATTTTTTAAAATACACAACAGTGGAATGCATTACAATTCTCATTACACATAGAGCACACAATTTTTCATATCTCTGTATATAAAGTATGTTCACACCAACTTATGCCATTGTACATGTGTACTTTTTTTGCATTACAATTCTTAATACACATATATACCACAGTTTTTCATATCTCTGTATATAAGGTATGTTAACACCCAATACCTGTACTTTGTATAATGATGACCATCACATTCCACCTCCTTGCTAATTCCCTTCCCCCTCCCTTTCCTTCCCAACCCTCTTCCCTGTCTAGAATTAATCTAATCCTCCCATGCTCTCCCTCCCTACCCCACTATGAGTCACCCCCCTTATATCAGAGAAAACATTTGGCATTTGTTTTTTGGGAATTGGCTGACTTCACTTAGCATTATCTTCTCCAATTCCACCCATTTACCTGCAAATGCCATGATTTTATTCTCTTTTATTGCTGAGTAAAATTCCATTGAGTATATATCCAACATTTCTTTTATCCAGTCATCTATTGGAGGACATCTAGGTTGGCTCTACAGTTTAGCTATTGGGAATTGTGCTGCTATAAACATTGATRTGGCTGTGTCCCTGTAGTATGCTGTTTTTAGGTCCTTTAGGTATAGTCCGAGAAGGGAAATAGCTGGGTCAAATGGTGATTCCATTCCCAGATTTCCAAGGAATCTCCAAACTGCTTTCCAAATTGGTGCAGCCAGTTTTGGCAGCTGGAAGCTGGTGGTGGCAGTTGGGCTCTGAGGGTTTTTCCCGAGGAGCTGTCTTGTTTGGCCTGTGTGGTTCTAAAAAAATTTGGAAAATTGTATGAATGTACCTTTTTTCCCACATCCTCGCCAACACTTGTTGTTGTTTGTCTTCATAATAGCTGCCATTCTGACTGGAGTGAGGTGATATCTTAGTTTTGATTTGTATTTCTCTGATTGCTAGAGATGATGAGCATTTTTTTTCATATATTTGTTGATTGATTGTATATCCTCTTCTGAGAAGTGGCCGTTCAGGTCCTTGGCTCATTTATTGATTTATTTTTTGGTGCTTAGCTTCTTGAGTTCTTTATATACCTAGAGATTAGAGCTCTATCTGATGTGTGAGGG